CCCACCCCCACTCAGGGCAGCTGTGGCCCCGCCTCGGGCCCAACTTCCTTCCTCTAGTGCACTCCGCGATCTCCTGGCCTGGGGACTGCACACGTGTCAACTCACCCCCAGATCACCAAGCAACCTTGAGTCTGCTGACAGCATTGCCCAAATCCAGCTCCCACGCACTGGGAGAGGGAATGCCTCAGACACACCTGCATACACCTTGAGACCCATCAGAGTATTGGACCTGCTTGTACCCACTGGAAGAGAACCTTGGACCCGTACCCACCAGGAGAGGAAGAGACCCCACCTGTACCCACTGGAGGAAGGGATGAGAAGATGACAGTATAAGAACACATTCAACAACAGAAAAACCAATATGATGCCACCAGAGTCTAGGAACTGTACACCAGCAAGACCTGAACACCCCAACACAGATGAGGCAGAAGAGAATGACCTTTAAAATAACTTCTTGAAGATGATAGAGACCCTAAAAGCGGAAATGAGAAAATCCTTTAAAGAAATGGAATAGACAAACCAAAAATTGCAAGAAGCAATTCAAACAGTGCAAGGTTTGAAAGCTGACATAGAGACTAAAAAAAAAACAAAAAACAAAAAACAAAACAAAACAAAACAAAAACACAGTCTGAAGGAATGTTGGAATTAGAGAGTGGGTAAATGAGCAGGAACTACAAACCTGCTACAAAGCATAACCAACAGAATACAAAAGTTGGAAGACAGAATCTCAGGCATTGAAGATTCACTAGGAAAAATAGATTTATTGACCAAAGAAAAATTTTTTCAGACAATAAATGGGCTGAGAAACAAATCAGAGAAACATCACCCTTTACAATAGCCACAAACAGAATAAAATATCTTGGGGTAATGCTAACCAAACAAGTGAAAGACCTGTATAGCAAGAACTTTGAGTCCCCCCCCCAGACTGTCCTGGAACTCACTCTGTAGACCAGGCTGGTCTCAAACTCATAGAGATCTGCCTGCCTCTGCCTCCCGAGTGCTGGGATTAAAGTGTGCGCCACCAACGGCTGGCTGAACTTTGAATCTTTAAAGAAAGAAATTAAAGAAAATACCAGAGAATGGAAAGATCTCCTATGCTCTTGGATAGGCAGGATCAACATAGTAAAAATGGCAATCTTGCCAGAAGCAATCTAGAGATTTAATGCAATCCCCATCAAAACACTGGCACAGTTCTTCACAGACCTTGAAAGAACAATCAACTTAATATGAAAAACAAAAGACTCAGGATAACCAAAACAACCCTATACAATAAAGGAACTGCCAGAGGCATCATCACCCCTGACTTCAAGCTCTATTATAGAGCTATAGTCCTTTAAAAAGCTTGTTACTGGCACAAAAACAGAGAGATAGACCAATGGAATCAAACTGAAACCCCTGATATTAACCCATACACAATCGATTTTTGACAAAGAAGCTAAAATTATACAATGGAAAAAAGAAATCATCTTCAACAAATGGTGCTGGCATAACTGGATGCTGGAATGTAGAAGACTGTGGATATATCCATGCCTGTCACCATGCACAAAACTTAGGTCCAAATGGGTAAAAGACCTCAACATAAATCCAATCACACTGAAACTCTTAGAAGAGAAAGTGGGAGGTACCCTTGAATGAATTGGTACAGGAGACCGATTCCTGAACATAACACCAGTAGCACAGACACTGAGATTGACAATTAATAAATGGGACCTTCTAAAACTGAGAATCTTCTGTAAGGCAATGGGCACAGTCAACAAGACAAAAAAGCAGTCCACAGATTGGGAAAAGTATTCACTAATCCCATATCTGACAGAGGGCTGATCTCCAAAATTTACAAAGAACTCAAGAATCAAGTTTCCAAAACACCAAAGGATCCAATTAAAAAGTTGGGTACAGAAGTAAATAGAGAAGTCTCAATAGAGGAGTCTAAAATGGTTGAGATACTTAAGTGCTCAGCATCCTTAGCCATCAGGGAAATGCAAATCAAGACAACTCTGAGATACCATCTTACTCCTGTCAGAATGGCTAAAATCAAAAGCACCAATGGCAGTTTATGCTGGAGAGGATGTGGAGAAAGGGGAACACTCCTCCACTGCTGGTGGCAGTGCCAACTCATTCAGCTACTTTGGCAAACAATATGGAGATTCCTCAGGAAAATGGGAATCAGTCTACCTCAAGATCCAGCAATTCCACTCTTGAACATATACCCAAAAGATGCACATTCATCCAACAAGGACACCTGTTCCACTATATTCATAGCAGCATTATTTGTAATAGCCAGAACCTGGAAGCAACCTAGATGCCCCTCAACTGAAGAGTGGATAGAGAAAATGTGGTACATTTACACAATGGAGTACTACTCAGCGGGGAAAAAATGGAATCCTGAAATTTGCAGCCAAATGAATGATACTAGAAGAAACCATCCTGAGTGAGGAGGTAACCCAGTCACAAAAAGACAAACATGGTATGTACTCACTCATATGTGGATTTTAGACATGGAGCAGGGGATTGCCAGCCTACAAGCCCACTGCCAGAGAGTCTGGGAAACAGGGAGGACCCTAAGAGAGATATGCATGGTAGCCTGGAGAAGGGGAATGGGACAGGATCTCCTGAGTGGAATGGGGGCATGGAGGGAGGGGAGAGGGAGCAGGGAGAAAGAGAGAGGGAGAAGAGGGGAGAGGAGGACATGGGGAGCAGGAAGGTTGAGTCAGAAGAATAGGCAGCAGGATGAGAGATACCATAATAGGAGTCATTATAGGTTTGAGGAGAGATCTGGCACTAGTGAGATTTCCAGAGATCTACAAGGCAATCTAAGTGGCAATCTAAGCAATAGTGGAGAGGGTACCTTAAATGCCCTTTTCGATAATGAGATTGACGACTACTTTACATGCTATTCTAGAGCCTTCATCCATTGGCTGATGAAGTAGAGGCAGACACCCACAGCTAAACACTGAACTGGAACCCAGTTACAGAGATGGAGGAGTGATGAGCAAAGGGGTCAAGAATGGGCTGGCAAAACTCACAGAAACAGCTGACCTGAACAAGGAGGAGCTCATGGTCCCCAGACTGATGGCTGAGAGGCCAGCATGGGACTTATCCAGACCCCCTAAATTTGGGTGTCAGTGAGGCAGCCTAGGCAATCTATGGCACCTCAGATATTTATCAGTATTTATTCCTGGCATCTGAATGGACTTTGGGAGCCCACTCCACATTGGACACATGGGGGAGGGCCTAGGCCCTGGCCCGGATGATATGACAGACTTTGGTGAAGCCCTCCCCAGGGAGCAGAGTGGGGATTCAGTGGTGGGTTGGAGGGGCCAGGGAAGGAGAGGGGACTGGATTGACATGTGAAGCAAGCTTGTTTCTAATTTAAAAAACAAAACAAAATAAAACAAAAAACCACAAAGGCTAATAGTATGAAAAAAAAAAAAAAAGAACAGGCAGACACAAGGGAAGGCCAGGAGGTCAAAGAGAGGGTGAAGAGACAAGGGACCTCCTTTCAGAGCCTAAGAGCTGGAGTCTGCTCCTGTGTGCAGGAGTGAGGGCTGCTGAACTGGAGGATTCTTTTCTGTGGTTAAACCCTGTTGGGCAAGCGTCTGAAGTCGCAGGACCCGTCTCTAGTCTCTACTGTTGTAGCTTCCCTTCTTTGTGTAGCAGGGTCCTCTACTGGCCAGATGTAGCTTTGCAGTCTGTGGGCTGTATAGTCTCTCATCACTTTCACTGCCCAGGTCCTTTCTTCACAAGTGGATGTCTCCAAGGGCACTGGGAGTATGCAAGCAGCCAAGTTCTTTGTACTTTCATCTTGCTGGAAGGGCGCAGTGGTGGGAGCCTGCCTCCTGGAGCTTCAGTCTCCAGGCTTTGCAGCAATACTGCTACCTAGACAGCATCTGTACCCTCCTGCTGACCACAAAGAGCTATACAACTCCAGATTTATTTCCAGTTGATGTGATCGGCTCCTAGCAACCAGGGCAGGACTTTTATCCTGTGCCCTGTACTGCCCTAATTTCTGTCTCTATACTGATAGCTCCCAGCATGTAGAGCCTCCCCTACCCCCCACCATTCTACATCACCTCCTCCCAGGGTTGTCTGTCATTATTGAACCAAAGTCTAGCTGGCTGAACTTGGGCTCCCCATTGTGTGGTTGTTCTCCATTCTCAGGCTTCCAGTGTAGCTCAGTTCCCTGTCAAGATCGTGCCTGTTGAGTCAGTGACAGAAATGGGATTCCCCTACTGTAGACCTGTCTGCTGGAGGAATCAGGGTCTTAAAGCCCACAACTGGGTCTGAGACCTGTGGGCTTCCCCGAAGGTAGTGCTGCTGGTCTCTTCACCTGACATAATCTCTTGCCACTGAGTCCCACATATGCTTGGGTTGGCTTTTCTGTCACTAGACCTTTTTGACACATTTTCATACTACCTTTGTGGATTTCTGAATGGCTCCCAACCTTTATCTTTAGACTACAGACTGTTTTTCTTCTTCTCATTCTTCTTTGATATGTCACAGAGGCAGCTTTGGGTCTACTGTCTACCCCAGAGCCTGTTGTGAACTTTCTTGTCTCTGATTTTGCTTTAGGTCTGCTCTGTCAGGGTAGCTGTTCCGATTTGCTTCCCAATTGTTTGTTTGTTTTTCGAGACAGGGTTTCTCTGTATTGTTTTGGAGGCTGTCTGGAACTCGCTCTGTAGACCAGGCTAGCCTCGAACTCACAGAGATCTGTCTGCCTCTGCCTCCTGAGTGCTGGGATTAAAGGCATGTGCCACCAACGCCTGGCTCATGCTTTAGCTTTTAGTTTTAGTTTTCAGTGAAAACTCACATAGCCAACACTGACGTGGGTGTTAGGAACCAAACCTGAGTTCGCTGCAAGAGCAGTTATGTGTGTTCTTAACCATCAAGCCATCTCTTCAGATACCTACTCAAATTTTTATTTCTTCTTAGATACTTTTTAGATGGTCTTATAACCTGAGTTTTCTGTTGGTATCAGCACATTCAACATGTTGCATCCAGAATACATGGGTAAATCTTTAATGGTTCCTGAAACACATTCCACCAATGACGTGAGGAGTCACTGACACGTGCACGTGGTACACCAGTAAATGTCATTCAACCTTTTCTACAGACAGCACTCATTAAATCCTAGAATAGGTGGCTGAATTCCTATTTCTAATTCAGTAGATTAAAAACACAACTGTGAGTGGTATAAAGATAGAAGAATTATGTTATGATAATATTAATCACAAAAATAGAGAATCCAGACCGTTTCCAAGTAACTTAAAATATCTGTTTCTCAAGTTATACATGATGGCCACAGACAAAATAGTAATTAATGATGCCCTTCCATGTGGTGAAGTAGTGTAAACGCTGGGATCTGAGTATCAGATGGTCAATGGGCCGAAATCAAGGGACTTTAGAAACACATTTAACTCTGAAGTAAGCAGACAGACAGACAGGTGGTTTACAAGTACAGCAAGTCTAGTCATCATCAGAATCAGAATCATATTTCTTTCCTCGGATAGTTTTCTTTTCCAGCTTTGTGAAGTTTGTCCCAAATTTCTTTTGGCTCTGAAACGGTGGCTCCATTAAACTTCCACTAAAAGTGAAACAAAGTTCAAGAGCATTTTATTTTTTTATGATTTAATACACTTGGGATGCTAGACTGTAAAACGTATTAATATTAAAGATTAATAGTTTCACACCTTACCTAACTGTATTAGATCAACATTTGAGTTTCTTGTGTCTCATGACCATCATCATAAACATTCTGGGGGTGATGGGATGGAGCCCTCTGTAAACTGAGCACCAGCATCCAGAGCAGACAGGGAAGAATGTTTCGGATGCCCTGACCCTGTGCTGAACCCATGCTAATGACAATGACAGGCCACAATGCTGAGTTTGTGTTCTTGCTGTGACTCTTCCTGTGTGGCACTCCAATGTTTACATTTCTACACACATTGGTAAAATCCACAGAAGGCACTATTGTCAGTCTGGAACTGGCATAAAACTTAAAATTTTTTTTCTTTTAAATCCTTTCAATGATGTTAGAGAAATAAATGATCAGATAGTTTTGTGTATGTGTCTGGGGAGTATTCCTGGCATCCAGATGCTAGTTTTGGAATATCATTTGCTAGGAAGGTATGGTGGCACATGCCTGTAATTCCAGTAGCCAGGAGGCTGAAGTAGAAGGACTGTGAGTTTGAGAACCATTTGGACTATATAGTGAGAGCCTGCCCTAAATAAACAGTAAATAAATGAATAAATCAATAAATGAAAAAAGGAGAGAAAAAAATTACCATTTGCCAGTGACAGAAGCACAATTTCTTTTCTAATTTTAGAGAGAGAATACAATATAAACTTTCCTAAAGCACTTTGCTTGGATCACAGCAGGAGGGTTCGAAGGATAACAGAGTCTTATAGACTGTAATCCACAGAATAAAATCATTCATAGCCCAGACTAATCACTCAATGGACAAGCAAATGGATGCAAGTGATACAAAAGTTCCTCATCAAATTGCCAGCTGGCACGATGGAGCAGTGTTCAACCTAGTGCTGTAGCATTAAAGAGAGTCAATCCATCTGAATGTGCCTAAGAATGCAGGCACTGACACCCTCCCAACCAGTCCTGATATGAGAGCGGAGTCTGATGCTGAGATACATACACAGACCCAAACTTGGGAACATCTGAGAAATTAACTAGCTTATACATTTAAAACTGTCAGCCTTGAAAAATAATTTAGAAACTGTTAGAGATACTAAATGCAATAACTAAGTGTGACACATTTTTTATACATGGAGAATAAAAGGATGGTGGCACATTTGAGTAGGTTCTATAAACTACATTAGTAACTGAACTGGGTGTATGCAAGAAAATGTCCTTATTCTTAGCAAATATACATTCAGAAATAAAGAAATATACTCATATGGTTCTGAAAACAATTTGTTACACATCCGGCATAAACATTTATAATGTGGGAATATGGTTAAAGACTATGTAATTCCTTTTGGTAGTTTGCAACTCAATTAAAATCTGAAATCAAAGTTGGGCATGGTGGCCGGGCATTGGTGGTGCATGCCTTTAATCCCAGCACTTGGGAGGCAGAGGCAAGCGGATCTCTGTTAGTTCGAGGCCAGCCTGGTCTACAGAGCTAGTTCCAGGACAGTCTCCAAAACAATACAGAGAAACCCTGTCTCAAAAAACAAACAAAAAAAAAGTTGGGCATGGTGGACCCCACCTGTAATCCCAGCACTTGGGAGGCAGAGGCAGGAGGATTAACAATACTGGACTAGAGAGTCAGACCTTGTCTCAAAAGACAACAACCAAAAGAAAAAAATGTTTGAAATAATTTCAACATGTAACAATTTGTTGGACAAATGTTAATGTATGTTAATATGAACAAAAAGAAATGGACTTCCATAGTAGAGGAATGATTCATTCATATTTAGTGAGGGGAAGCAGAGGAGAGAAAAAGGTGAGATTTTCTGCTTTGAAAGACACAATTTTCCTTGTCTTTCTCTTTTCCTTTTTTCTTTTTAAAGCAAAAATAGGCACAAAGCACAGCTGGTACTTTCAATTTGGAAGGGACAAAGCCATGCACACACACACACACACACAAATGGAAGCTGAATTTTAGCCTGTCCCACAAATAAGACCATCCTCCAGTTATGTAAGCATGGATGTATGAATGTCTATAATAAAAGTCTATTGCTTTAGCATGGTCTTTGGGGCTAGGAATTATTGTGCTGTGGTAGTGAGGCACACAGCTAGTTTATACAAGGTTTCACCTCAGTACTGCAAACATGAAATTACAAAAGTGTATGAGCACTTAGCAGTGTGTTTCATATTTTAATTTCATCACAAAGAATCACTTAAGTCAGTCATAGGTTGTGGAGGTAAGGCTTAGGGTATAACTAAGTGACAGAGGACTTGCCTAGCATGTGCAAGGCTCTGTGCTGAATCTCTTAACATCATGAAAAACAAGCCCCCCACACGCACCCAAAGGTAATCTATTCTGGAATGTCACTTTGGGTTTCCAAAATTAGTTTCAGTAACATTTCTTACGTTGAAAACTTCTAGGCTGCCTTCAAACCTCAGTTTTTAAAAATCTGTAAATTTGGTTTTGCTACAAGGTCACATTGTTCTATGCCTTAAAGAAATTTGGGCTTTTCAGTCAGGTGGTGGTGGCTCACGCCTTTAATCTCAGCACTCAGGAGGCAGAGGCAGGCGGATCTCTGTGAGTTCGAGACCAGCCTGGTCCATAAAAGCTAGTTCCAGGACAGCCTCCAAAGCCACGGAGAAACCCTGTCTTGAAAAAACAAACAAACAAACAAAAAGAAATGGGCTTTTCCCAAGCTGTCTACATCTTAGCCAACAAGATTTAATCTTATAAAATAAAATAAACCTTAACACACAAAATCAATCAATCAATCAATCTCAAAAACTACCACCTAGGTATTGTTTCAAATAAGCCTAGTTTTTGGTTTGTTTTTACTAAAGGTTACCTGTAGTTGATAACATCAGAACAACCAAGTCTCCACTCTAAAGTTTCTGTAGTGAAGTCATCTGTATTTCCTAGGTCGGTGAATCCAACAACATAGTCTTTCGTCTTGCCGTCTTTCAGGAGGGCTAGTGTGGGGATGACTTTGATCCGAAGTCTTTCACAGAGGAATGGTGCCTTTTCCACATTTAGCTTCAAAAACTTGGTTTCAAGATGTTTTTTGGCCAGTATTGCCAAATGTCTGTCTAGTATTTTACACCTGTAAGTTAACAGCAGAAAAAGTAAAAGCTAAAGGGAGCGTAAAAATTTTATAATTTTTCTGTTGAGTCTTAATTTTATGAGTTACTATATTTAGGATAAAAACAACAACAAAATACTAAGATCTTGGTCCCCTTATGAATGAATTTTTCCTGGTGTCTTCATAAGGATGAAGGGGGACAGATCTGAAGCTGACAGAATTCACAAGAGGCAAAAATTCAGCTGGTGTCACATTTGGAATTTAGGATTAAAAACTGGAGTCATAAGAGCTGAGTAGTGGTGGCTCACAACTTTAATCCCAGTACTCGGGAGGCAAAGGCAGGCCACAAAAGCAGGCTAATCTTTGAGTTGGAGGCCAGCATAGTCTACAGAGCAAATTCTAGGACAGTCTGGGCTACACAGAGAAACACTATCTTGAAAAACCAAAAACCAAAACCTCCAAAAACTGGAGTCACCAAGAACTCTTATCTGTTAAAGGTTATATAATACTCTTTAAGTATGGCTATGTGAGCCGGGCGTTGGTGGTGCATGCCTTTAATCCCAGCAAGATCGAGGCAGAAATAAGCAGATCTCTTGAATTCTAGGGCAGTCTGGTCTACATAGTGAGTTCCAGGACAGCCAGGACTATAGAGACCCGGTCTTGAAAAACTAAGATTTTAGAGATAAATGGTAAATGAACAAATAACGGGTTTTAAACAATGCTTTAAACAAACAGTAAATCTATATGTAAGGAATTTGTACACAAACCTACTCTATATTTTAACTGTAGAAGGAACCCATTTCAATTAGGTCTATGTACACCATTTGTTAATTAACATATTTTGCTGTTGCTTTGAGATCTTACTATGCAGCCCAGGCTGGCCTCAAAATTGTGCTCCTTCTTGCCTCAATCTCAAAAGCAATGAAATTACAGGTGTAGACCCCCATGCCTGTGATCAACCCAAGTTGTAAAACACTAATTTTAAGACGTGCTACATCTGTTTATACCATGGAACATTTGGTTAATGATGTAAGATGTGTTACATTCTTTTATGCTGCATTTGTTTAACTCTGTGAAGCTGTGTTACTGTGCCTGTTTGAAACATCTGATTGGTCTAGTAACAGCTGAGCAGCCAAAAGCAAGGCAGGAGAGAGAAACAGGTGAGGCTGGCAGGCTGGGAGAATAAATAAAAGGAGAACATTAGACAGAAAAAGACGCAAGAGCCAGCCACACACGGAGTCAGAGTGAAAATCAGATTACTGAAGTAAGGAGAGAAAAAAACCCATAGGAAAAAGGTAGATTGGGGAAATTTAAGTTGAAAAGCTGGCTAGAAATAAGCCAAGCTAAGGCCAGGCATTTATAAGAAATAATAAGCCTCTGTGTCATGATTTGGGAACTGAGTGGTGGCTCTCCCAAAGAATAAATAGTAATTAAAAAAACCAATTACAAACCTACTTTTTAAAAATCTAGCCCATCTTTAACTACAGCACTTGGGAGACAGAAGCAGGTGAATTTATCTCTAAATTCCTTGCCAGCCAGAGCTATCCAGCAAGAACCTGTGTTACAAAGTAAAGATTGTGACATGCAGGAAGCCCTAGATCCACTCTTGGACACCACAATAAACACCATCACCAAAAAACCAAAAACAAAATGCCTCCACAAAACAAATAAATACAAACATCCACAAAAATCCCAAACAACAACAAGAACCCAAAACATTTACTAATCCAGAAGCAGGGCTGGAGAGATGGCTCAGCAGTTAAAAGCACTGGCTGGTCTTCCAAATGACCCAGGCTCTGTTGCCAGCACCTACATGGTGGTGGTTCACAACCATCTGTGATTTCAGTTCCCGGGGATGCAATTTGGTTTTCTGATCTCTGTGGGCAGCAGGTACACATATGTTGCAAATGATATACATGCTGGCAAGACACATTTATACATATAAAGCAGAACAAATAAATCTAAAAATAAAATACAGAAGCACTAGTGATGTTCGTCTCAGGTTTAAAATATGGGTTCAGATTTCTTCTATTATTTAGTAGCTGAGTCACTTCATCTTTCCATTCAAGAAACTGAGAATTAGAAGCCATACCTCAAAGGGCCACTATAAACATTTGATTAAAAGATGTATAATCATGGATATAACAAATCTACTATCTCTTAGGACTCTGTGCGTTGTATAGAAAAGTTAATGGGATGGTGTGAATACTGTTTTCCCAGTTCGGCCTAGAGATGAGCACTCCAGTTGTTCAGTTTCCTATCCTTGAGATATATTTACTTGGCCTCCACTTTATGTGTCAGCATTTCTGCTCCAGAGCTAGTGACAGGCAAATGCTCCGCTTGTGTGAAGTCAACCATTGAGTAGAGGAAGACATATGACAAGTGAAGGCAGCATCAACCTCATCTGCCGCTGTCAGTGGGCCGCCTGACAGTAACTGCTGCAGGCTGGGACTTAAGGAAAGTGTTTACTGCTCTTCCACCTTCCTAATTTTTCTCAGTATTTGCTCTCATTATCTTAGAGAATGCATCTACGGCACTCAACCTCTGAGGGTGTTGATGAAGTGGGTGGGTTCTGAGGCTATGACAAAGGTCAGGTGGGCTACAGAAAAGAGAAGGCGGGGCTGAGATACAGCACGGGAGACAAGTTACCGGGCATGTCCATTTATGAAAGGCAGCACCCGGAAATCCTGTTATAATTCAGGGTCTGTTACCAGCTTTCCCAATTTAAAACTTCTGAAATCTTGCTAATTCTTAAACTGTTAATTTTTAAAGGTTGGCAACTAATCAGTTTTGAAGTGGGGGGAAAAAGCCCAACAACATACATACACATATACGAAACTTCCAAAATTGAGTCCTCTGTTTCAAAACATAACCTCTTGGGCTGGGAATGTAATTCAGTTGTAGAAGAGCCTAGGACATAAAAAACTTCCCCTCAAAAATATAACTTGGGGGTTCATGTGTGCTACTTTCTCTAAGGGGTTCATTAGATTCACAGATTGAAGTGCCCTTAGGAAAACTACTTCCAGTCAAGCCTGGCCGTTCCAATCACAATTCCAATGAAATGGTCATGTCACTATCTCCTTATCCAATTCCCAGCAAACTCACCAGTGAAAAAGCAATCACTTTAGTGTTTTGGTAAGAATTCTAAGATGTCATTAGAGTTACAGAGTGGAAACACAGTTGAGGAACAATAAACCATTCTCATAGGAATACTGACTTTTTTTTTTTTTTGGTTTTTCGAGACAGGGTTTCTCTGTGGCTTTGGAGGCTGCCCTGAAACTAGCTTTTGTACAACAGGCTGGCCTCGAACTCAGAGATCTGTCTGCCTCTGCCTCCTGAGTGCTGGGATTAAAGGTGTGTGCAACCACTGCCTGGTGAAATACTGACTTTCAAGGATGGAAGCAAAGTTACCTGAATGTGGTGTCTCTGTAGAAATGGCAAACCACCTTTTCACTCTCCTTGACTTCTTGAAAAAAGTCTCTCTCACTGGCAATTTCTCTGTATTCCCCATGTCCTTTAGAAAGCCATTCCTAATTCCAAGAGAAACATACGACCCAGCTGAAATGTCTTTCGGTGACAGTTGGTATTTTAAGTGTCCTAATCACTGTACTATTTTCTAAAGAAATCAATTTTATCTCATAGCAAAAAGCATTCCTTCCAGCAATTAACTTTTCTATGATTCTAGTGGCAGTCAAGGCAAAACTATTCTGTGGACATCTATGACTGCTCTTCATAGCATGGGTCCAATGAAGATAATATCCTGTCTTAGTAATTTACTTGCTTCATTAGAAGTTTCGCAGTAGGAATTTAGGTTTGAGAAACATAACACGAAAATACCCATTTAACTTTCATGTGTGTGCTCTTTAAACTAGTAAAATCAGGATCATTTGATCCAAATTATTACAAAAGGGTTTTTCTGATGCTAGGGACTGAACCCAGGACCAAGAGCAGGCTAGCAAGAGCTCTACCACGGAGACACACACACTCAGTTGTATACTTTATAAAGAATAATGTTCTTACAGGAAATTACGGAATGCTGAGAATGGAGAAATAGTTTTCTCCAGGGAAGAGCACACCGATTGGTTATTCAGTACCAAATGGTCAGCCTTTAAAATGTACATGTGAGTAACATCATATAGACAGAGCAGACTACATTTAGAAACACCATTTGTATATACACATATGCATGTAATAACAACGGACAAAAACAAAGGCCATGAATTTGAAAGGGAGCATATAGGATGGTTTGCAGGGAGGGGAAAGGAGGAGGAAATGATGGAACTATATTATAATCTCAAAAATAGGAAATACTTAAAAAAGACAAAACAAACCACCCCATGAAATAAACCTGTCAATTAGGAACCCACTGATCTCCTTCTGATAACAATCCCAAACAGGCAAGGGCTTCTAGACTAGCCATCAGTGAAGAGACTCCTCAGATGGAGAAATGTTCTACTCATGTGGTGTCCAGAGCCAAGGGAAGCCTCACATATAATTCAACTTCACAACCCAAAGCATGCACCCCTATTAACTCTTTCAGGCCCTTCCACCTTTCCCGTGGCAGAGACCTCGTCACCTCAACTAGAGGCTCACTATGCTTGGCTAAAAACTAAAAAAAGGAATAAAAAGAAAGGAAAAAAGAAACAACGAAGGCAAAAGTTTCAATACTCTTCCCACCATTCACTGAACTAGAACTTGAATGACCTTTCTGAGCCTTCATTTTCTCCTTTGTAGTGGGTGTGATAAAACAATCACCTCACTGAGTTTTTGTGAAAACGACAACAGAACCGGGTGGTGGTACACGCCTTCAATTCCAGCACTCCTGGAAGCAGAAGCAGGCCAGTCATGGCTGCACAGTGAGTTCCTGCCTGCCACCTCCTCGCCTCCAAAAAAAGACAATTTAATAAAAATGCACAAATGCTTAAGCACTTAGAAACATCTTCTCCCATGGAACTACTGTGGGTCTTCAATTTGATATGTGGACCCTAAGCTTGGTCTGAAAGAGAAGTTTTAATTTCTCTTTACATGTCAGCTCCTCAATTAAATGTTACATCTTGCCTAAGTTCCCTCAAGTTTTATTCCTGGGAAAACATTTAACAGTGATAGAGAGTTCAATTCAGAACACCCTGCAAGTGAGGAGGGACGGCCACGTGACAGCACAAGGTAGTCAGGAGCACAGTGCCAAGGCCTTTTCAGGGAGCAGGTGGGAGGGGTTACTTGTTTCTGCTGCTGGGCCTTCCTGAGTGCAGCCAGCCTCTTCTCTTTGAGGAGTTCCAACTCATCTTCACCGATCTGATCCAGTTTCTGAATTTCAGAGTCCAAGTGACTTTCCACGAGCTTAGCAGCCTGGAGGAACTGGTTCTCTAGGACCTCTGAGAACATGTCGATGGACCCATTACCTTCCATTGTTAACGGTCCTGGTTCTGGGAGAGTCACAAAAAACAAGCATTACCTTTACACTTGGGGGGGGTTGTTGTTGTTTAAACACAGTGTCTTGGTAACAGGGCTTGAGACCTTAACACAGTAGGTGTCATGTTAGAGACACCATTCTGACCTTAGAGTCTAGCATGTAGGTTCCCACCACCTGCTGAAACGGGAACAAAGACCCAGTCCATCAAAGACCCGGTCCATAGTTCCAGGATCCAGGGAAGTCCCTAATTGTACTGACTTCCCCTATGGCTTCTGTAAGTTTTAGCCATTTTTTTTTTCATGGACACTGCCATAAGGAGTTTCCTTTCTATACTTCCTCAGAATTATCTTAACAAAAACAGCTTTACAGGAGAGAAGTTTATATGCATTGGAGTCCAGGAAGTGAGGCAGGTACAGAAGACATGCGTCCAACCATAAGCTGAGAGAAATGGATAACTACATGCCTGTGTCCAACCTCCTCTACACCGACTCTAGGATTCCAATTCCGGGAACAGAACGGTGCTGCACGAATGGGCAGGTCTCCTTTCTTTAATTAAAGCAAACAAAACCATCCCCACTCCCCCAGCCATGCCCACAAGCCAACCCGATCTCACAAACATCACAAAATCATGTCACAAACAAAATTAGCCTGGGCATGGTGGCTCAAGGCTGTCACCTTAGCTCTCAATGGCAGAAGCATACGGATCAGGAATTTGAGGCCATCCTTGGATATACATAGAGCCGACAGAGGTCAGTCTGGGCTACATAAGACCATCTTTTTTTTTTAAGACCATCTTCAAAACAACAAGAAAAAACCCCCAAAACTTAAACAGCCTCTAAACCCCAACTGTCATCTCCTCATAAATACTACACGATTGAAAAGAAGCTGTTATTTCTAAGATCCCTACCTCCCGCAAGAGAAATGTAAGAACAAGGCTCTCCACTCGGGATGAAATGGCCGGACACCAAACAAGATCGTTAGAAAAATGACATGATCTGAGCATAGCACTCGCTTATTCCTGGGGCTTTTACATTTAAACTCGGAGCTTCACGATACCACAGGCGCCAAGGGCTGCGCTAGATTAGGCGGTGGTGGAGGGGTAAGGAAATAACTTTCTATTTGTTGAGCCAGCTCGAGTATTATTCTTACCGATGAACCGGAGGGCTGACATGTAGCCATTTAACTCCCCTACAAATTCCTACCCGAAACCCTAACCCCATGTACCTCTCAGTAGCTTCTCTGCCACTCCCGGCGCTCCGGAGACAGGTGGAGCAGTTCCGGGGAACGCGATTTCGCACCACCTGGGGCGCATGCGTCACAGCCTCCCGGACGCAGGCGTCACAGTCTCCGGGGCACAGACAAGGCAGTCCCAGCCGCGCCCTCCCCCCGACCCCGCCCGTCCCAGCCGGATGTGCAGCCGTGATACGTCCTTCAACACTGGAAAGCGGCGGCAGGATTTGTCACAGCATCCTATGCTGTACCTGGGCTATTGGGGATGCCCACGAAGGGAGGAAGTAGCAGATCAAGAATACCGATCAGGTTCACGCAGGTTTCAGCCTCGCAGCGGTTGTTAGGGGCGGCGAAGGTTCTATCGATTCTTCCTTTTCATTGGCTAACGTCCTCTCGCGATATAATGTGAGACAACCGCAGAAGGGGCGGCGGGCAGTGACGAAAGCCTCGGAGAGTGCGGCTCTCCTCCGCCACCCGGAACTACAAGATTCCGGACCTATACTGGGGGGAGGGGTAACGACGGGATGAATGAGCGCTAAGGATACTGGGAATTATAGTTTTTCTTTTGCACAGGGTGCGCGTCAGCACTCGCTATGCTCCCTCGAAATGAGCCCGATCTTGCGCCTGAGCGACCATGGGGCTTCATTTCCTTTTGAGTTTAATAGTTTCCAAAGTTAAAGTGTAGCTCACAGTGCACTATAACTACGTGAATCACTCTAATAACATCGCCCAAAACCAGATGGAGAACATTTTCACCAGAATTTTCCCTCCTGACTTCCTTGAACACATGCATTTTTAGAACTTGCTCATATGGAGATAAATATTGTGGGATCGGTCGCTGTACCCTTGTGTCTTTTCCCTTAAATAAATGGACAGAATGTTACTAAGTGTTATACCCGAGTGTTACTGAGGGGGACCTATTATTTTGTTGTTGTTGTTGTTCTGGGTGTATGTCCCTCGGGAACTCCGGGAGGCTCATCATTGGCTCCTTGTGGCCCCGGAATGAATGAACTTCCTGCAGCTGAGGAAATGCAGGATCGAGGGAATTTTCAGTACCAGCCCCGAGTCGAATGCCAGCCCCGGGGAGGGTGCTGACGTGAGACGTGAAAAGCATCATTGTCGACAGTCCTCCAGGTTCTAGAATCCCGGAGCTGCGGGGCGTCGGTGCGCGGCAGTCCCTGGCGGCTAGGGGGCGCTCGGGTTCCCACCTGGCCGGCGGGCCAACTGAAGACGCTCTATCCGAAGCGCCGCTCTCGATGAGCCGCGCCCTGCGTCCCCACGCCGAGGCGGCGGGGCGATGCGCTTGCGTACTGAGGTCTCACACCATATGTGCCCTGTCCCAGTGCGCGGGTCTGTGGAGAGCCGGGTGCGAGAGGCGGCGGCGCGAGGTGGACGGAGCCGAGCGGGCATTCGAGTCAGCAGGGAGACAGTGCGTGTGTGAGACACCGAACCGAGAGGCCGGATCCGCGAACGCCGCTGACAAGCGATGGGGAAGAAACAGAAAAACAAGAGCGAAGACAGGTAGGCAGCGGGGCTCGGGCCGGGGGTCCGCCGGGAGTCGCGCGGGGCGCGGGGCCCTGAGTGGGCGGGCCTCGGTCGGGACGCGTCCCGCGGCTGCGGCTCCGGCCTTTGCCCGCTTCTCAGGGGCTGTGGGGCTCGGCAGTGGTTTGGGCGTCCGGTGTAGGGCCAGGTTCGGGCGCTGTTAACCCAGGCCTACGGCCCAGGTGGGTGCGAGCCGGGCCCCCTGAGCTCGGGTGGGGCGAGCCGGGAGCTGCCCTCTCGCCGCCTCTGGCCCCGTGATCGCCTCCCGGAGCGGCTCGGGAACTTCGGAGTTGCGGAGAGGTAGCCCAAGCGGCTCCCTCCTCCTGGGTGCCAACTTGGAAATACTGCTGGGGATATTTAAAGTGCCGGTTGCACCGACTCCATGCTTGCTGGCTTTCCATCTTCCGGCCTGTCTTTTGGCTTGTTTCTTGGCTTGCTAGCACTTCCCTTAATAAAGGAGGAGGCGAAGAAACCAGTCAGGGTCGCTTTTTTCTAACAACTTAAAAAAAAAGCCTTTTCCAGGGAAAGGAGTGTGTGATGATGAGTTGCTCAGGCGGAGGTTTGGGGAGCAAGCCTGTGTGTCACGTTTAAGTCCTTTCACCCTTTTCAGTTGCGTTTACCTCCTAGGACTCGGCTACCATCTGTTTATTCCTTTTCATCTTTACGCAGTAGCCGTTCAACTTAGCTTAAAACACCAGAGGTTTTAAACACCGAAGACAAAACCACGTCTGTGGCAGTTCATCGTCGTGGCTCACGCAGACGATGTTTTTGAAGTTAAAGTTATTAACTGTAAGTTAGAATACTAAGTTTACTTCGAAGTTGGCTAGCTGATGAGTAGAAATAAATAACGAGTCTTGTATTTCGGTTTTAGGTCTGTCGGAAAACGTAAGCTGGTTTGGAGAATAGGATTTGGGTTTCTTGTGACAGGCAAAGTTGGAGCTTGTGAAGAACAAGTTTTTTTTTTGTTGTTTTTTTTTATAGATTTAAATACCAGCATTAAGATTGGAAAGAGCAGAGAGGGAGCTGTAGAGCAGGGAAAACTGTGCTTCCTATAGAATGCAGGCAAATGTGCTTCTCAAAGAATTGCCTGAAAGTCACCGTTAATCAGAAAAGGAAAATAGAAAAAAATAAGCAGAATTCTGGGTGGTGTAGTTAGTGAAACACAAATTTCTGAACCTTTGATAGGATTTTTGGATACATGGGTTACATTTTCTTTTCCCCCTGAGAAAAAAATTGAGTTCTGTGTATTAAAGCCCCACATGTATTAAAGCCCCACATGCCCTTTACCTGTCTGCAAACATTATCATCTTGTGGCCAGTTCTGTATTACCCACTTGTTGGGTTCTCTGAACCATAAGAGGCCTTTCCTCTGTAAACCCATCAGGTGTATCTGAAAGATAAACAGTAGCCCTGGGGCACCACAGAAATCGAGACTACAGTCACAGCCCTGTTAGCTCTAGGAATAGGAGTTGGTTTCTTACCAATATCCAGCTAGTTTCTGTTTTCCCTGCTAGCCTTTTCTAAGTTGTTAAACAGTCTCTCACATAGCTTTGACCTCCAAGACTACCTTGAACCCCTGGATTCTCTTTCACTTCTTAAACTCTGCAATTTCAGGAATGGGCTATACACATTTATATTATTCCGTTTCCAATTTTTACTTACTTTCCAGGCTCTTTAACAATGGAGAAAAGCCATTGGGAGGGGAGATAAGAATTTTTGTCGGTTTTAGTGAAGATTGTTACCAAAAGATTTCCACAGGTGGTGCAAAGAGCCACTTGTCAAATGGTTACTTAGTAAACAGATAGTGGAGCTGGTCCCCCCCCCCCACAGGATTTCTCTGTATTACTTTGGAGGCTGTCCTGGAACTTGATATGTAGACCAGGCTGGCCTCGAACTCACAGAGCTGCGCCTGCCTCTGCCTCCCAAGTGCTAGGATTAAAGGTGTGAGCCTCCACCACCCGATTCCCCCTCCCCTTTTGAGTAATCTGTTATTTATTTTTGGCTCATCTTGAAGGGAAATGATAGCAGTGTAGTTTCAAAACGTTAATTTCCCTGTTCCAGTGTGGCGTTTCTGTTGCATGTTGTACCACTTTGCTGAGGCCTTGCTTAGGTGCCTTTCAGCTTGTACTAGGAAGTCTGGTGCTTTGCCCTTATGACTAGAATTGCCTGGCTTTTAGAAGACTTTTATCTCTCATATGAGCTGTTGGGGTTGAAGAAGGGAGTTTCACAGCTTTGCAAGTTTGCTTTTTTTTTTGTGTATATTTAAATCATACTCTTATCTTAAAATTTCTTTTTAAAGGGACAGGAATGAAGACTAGAAAAAGTCTAAAAAATGTTCTGTTTGGGGATTCATATTTTTTATAAGCTGCACTATATCTGGTTTTAGGTTCTTCTTGAGGAATCCTGGTTTAGAGAGTTTGTGTCATCACACCTGAGGCTTCTCCCAGGCTCTGCTAAGCCAGCATGTTTCTGTCCAGGCAGAAGTAGGTGAGAAGTGAACAGCTGCAGGGCAGATTGTTCTTGTCCAGGGTCTTATGCTTATCCTTATTTTAACTTTTAGCCATTCAGTATTGGGTTTCAATTCATCTGTTTTGTTTTGTTTTGTTTTTTGAGACAGGGTTTCTCTGTAGCTCTTGTAGACCAGGATAGTTCCGAACTCACAGAGATCCGCCTGCCTCTGCCTCCTGAGTGCTGGAATTAAAGGCGTGTGCCATCAACGCCCGGCTGGGTTTCAATTAATCTTGCTCATCTGATTTTATGTATGGTATATATTTTATTATGTTAGCAGCAGAGATGGTTAGGCTATTTTATCTGTATCTTTGAATTCTAGAATTCTATTTGGGCTTGTGTAATTCTGAGAATGAGCTTTCCTATAAGGTGTTTAGCAAGTTTCTTTGGTTCTTTTTTTTATTGACTGAGGAAATGTGATGAGACAAAAGGTAGGATTCTGTATTCACCAATGAAACAAAAGATGAGGCAGTGTTTCCATTTATTCATATAACCTTCCCTGTCATCCAGTTTTCATGTCGCTAGTGTATGGGAAAGTGCATGCTTCAATGGTAGCCTGTTATTTCTGTGTACAGTCTAGTGGATGGTCTCTCCCAGATTATCTGTTAAGGGAACAAGGATCAGGTTATCTGCCTTTTTAAGAAAAAAACTAGCCGGGAGCTGGTGGCGCACTCAGGAGGCAGAGGCAGGCAGAACAAAATCAAACCAAACAAAAACAAAAAAAACTATTAATTTTTTCATCCCCCCCAATATATTTGAAGATAATAACTAAGTATTGTAGATTTTTCAGTTTAGGAGTCTTGTCTATTTACCTTAATTAATGGAATCAAAACAACCTCTTCCCAAGCTCCCTAGTTACAACCCCCTCCTAAATACAGAGGGAAGGAAAAAAAATTATCTTATTTATCCGGAAATCAACTATCATGGAAGTCTGGGAAGTTAGGATGTTATTTAGGAAACAGGTGTTTGGGAGCCAGTGTGTTAAAAAGCCATCCTTTGCTTTTAACTACCAATGTTGCTCTGTAATTATAGACCCACAAGATTCCTCCCTTGTGGGTGTTCTGCCTGTCATATACAGTACCTAACCTTAGATGATGCTTTAGTACCAGGCATTCATCCAGCCAGGTATAGTCAGGTTGACAGGATGTCTGTGATAGGAGGAGGTGGTGGTGGTGGTGGTGTTGGTGAGCACCTTTAATCCCTACTTCAGGCCAATCCTCAGGCTGGGTTGGAGGAGTTCATTTCTCAGCACCCATGACAGGTGACTTACACTTACTTGATGCCTTTAACTCCAGCTCCTGGGGATCCAATCCTCTTCTGACCTCATGGGGCCCTGCACATCACTCAAGGGCAT